ACACGGAACACTAAGTTATAACAGTGTTCAAGGATTCACAGCCATCCTGTCGCTTAAGTAGGACATGGAGAACACAGGAGTCACAAAATCATGATTAGTAGTCAACCAATTCATCACATTTTCCGGAGGGACCTGGTGCTCACATTCCGAGTGCTACATTTGTAGAAGGCTATGGGTAATCAGTGAAAACCCCAAATGCATTTTTCACCCCAACCCAGTTTTTGAGTCTCTGTGTAAAGTAAGCCTCCATTGAATTCCTTAGGATCGCTAGCCATGGCCACGCGTTCCTACCTAGAATGGTGTGCAGACGCTAATCCTGGCCCCTGGCCCTCATCTGTGGTCCGCCTGCAAGTGTGACCTATGGATCTGCCACCAATCATGCTTTTGTGACCATTTCCCTTGTACGCCGTGTCCTATTTGGCCTCTGGTTGATGGTTTCCCTCGTCTGTATGATGAATCCTTGTCATGTCTTTGCCCTGTTTTGAGACTTACTAAATGCGTCTCCATAAATTAGCTTTGAGATTTGGAGTCTCCCTTATAGGGTCGCTACTAGTCCGAATAGACTCAACAGTGAGTGGCGGGGTTTCTCCTTGAGAACATTCCCTCCAACAGTATATAAGGTTGCTATGCGTCAGGAACAGCTCCATGGCACCGAACAACATCAGAAGTTGGCACCAGGGGTGCTGAGATGACATATGGGTGGGCTTTGGGGGAAGATGATGACTGTTACACACAAGTAAATGGGTGTTTCTCTTATTGGGTAATCTGCCCCAATCAGGGATTGTAACTTTGAAGAGAGGTCTTGATTCTGTAGGTTTGGGGGAGACACAGATGCCAGCCATAACTAGAAATAGCATCTTTGATGTGGTGGGGGAACCTGTGAACTTTTTTTTTTTTTTTTTTAACCTGTGAACTTGTTTACTACAGATTAGTAAGCACAGGTAAACGGGTTTATTGGCTAAGTGACACTGGATACCTACAAGCTTCCAAGAGGAGTTGCTCTTCCACAGGTAGCTGGAGGTCAGGGCTAGCTCCGAGGGAGTCTGGGTTGACAAGAAATGTGCTGTCAGTCAGACTACACCACTGCCAGGGCTCAGTGGTTCTCAACCTCCCTAATACAGTTCCTCCCTCATGTGGTGGTGACCCCTCCAACCATAAAGTTATTTTATTTTTTATTTTTCCGTAAAATTATGTTCGTTGCTACTTCATCACTGTCATTTTGCCACCGCTACGAATCGTCATGTAAACACCTGATATGCAGGATGTATTTTCATGGTTGCAAATTGAACGTCTTTAAACATCATTAAAGCATAGTGATTCATCATAAAACAAGATGTCATTACAGACTGCGAACTACTGATGCGTTTTCCCATGGTCTCAGGCGACCCTGCGCGACCCACAGGTTAAGAAGCGCGGGTCTCGAGGTAGACTAGACGTTGGGTGTCCTTCTACGTAGGCCCCTCAAAGGCCAGGGCGCGTCCCCCAGAGGACAGGTGTTCGGGGCCGGGATGGGGCGCAGCCCCGCGAGGCGCGGAACCCCTAGCCACCGCGCACCGCGTTCGCCCGGGCCGTCGGCGGAAGCTGCGCGCCGTTGCTAAGGGGCGGTCCCGGAAGTGACGCCCCCGGGTTTGTTGACAGCGGAGCCGTCGGCGGAAGCCGCGCGCCGTTGCTAAGGGGCGGGCCCGGAAGTGACGTTTCCGGGTTTGTTGACAGCGGAGGCGGCGGCGGCTGCGAGCCTTCGGAGCCCGATCAGGGAGGGCTGGGCCCGGGGCTAGCGCCCGGTGGCCTTGGCTCCGCAGGCAGCCCTCGGGGCGAGGTAACGGCCACGGGCCCCCTCCGCGACGCCCTCCGCCGGGCTCCCGGCCCCGGTCTGCCCGGCCCCCGGCCCTTAGTTGACAAGATCCCCTACCTCCTGAGGAGTTCTGGCCCCGGATTCTCACGGGCCCCATCCTCCGTGCCTCCACGCCGACGAAGCATCCCGCCTGCTCCCCAACGCCGAAGGCAGCCCCGTCCCCGGGTAGGTCCTGACCTAGGGATGGACTCGCGTCCTCCCCGCTGCCCTCCGGGGCCTCCACCTGGCCGCTGCATCTGCCTGCACACCTCCCTCGCAGCCCACGGGGGCCTTCTCCAAACCCCGCCCCCAGGTGTGAGAAAGGGGCCTGCAGAACTAAGCCCCCTTCTTCCAGAAAGAAAACGACGCCCAAGGTGGGGGATGGATGTAGGACGGTAGAGGCCAGCCAGGGCTCCACCTACCTGTTGGATGAGCCCCCCCACCCCCCACCCCCAAGCAGTGCTGAAAAGCTCAGGGACAGCTTGGATTCTGGATCCGCTCCTAAAGGAGATGGGAAGTTGCACGGAAGTCCAGCCGAGAAGGAAAGAAGTGGGATAGGGTTGCAACCTCAGGGCTAAGGGCGCCAGGTCGGTGAGTGGCAAGTGAAATGCCTTTTCTGGCCCTCTGGCTCTGTGAGTGGCATTTGACTTGTCTGCTCATAAGCCGGAAAAGACCAAGATTTCCAGTCTTTGCATTTTGATAATGCCTTTGAGTTTTACTGTTTGTGTTTCGGTTTTTCGGTACAGGGAAAAGAAATCAGAAACTTTTGCAAAACCATGCTATATGATCTTCCCACTGGTTGGAATGAGCTTTAAAAAGGGTCGCAGAGCAGGAGGTGGTTGGTTGCCAGGGGTGAGAGACCTCTCTGCTTTGGGTCATTCATTCATTCGACAAATAATCAGTGTAATACTTTGAAAGGGAATAGTGCTGAAGGGGCCTTGGAGAGGGCCAGAGACTAGTGGCTGCCATTTTTATAGAGGTTGCTCCAAAAAGATTCCTTTAATAAGGTGACGTGAAAGAGGGAGCCATGTAACACACTGGTGACAGCATTCTGGCCACCGGGCACAGCAAGTGCTGCAAAGGTCCTGAGGTAGCAGTATACGTGGTGATTCAAAACAAAATGAAAAACACCAGAAAACAGGACAGTGGGGCTGGAACATGAAGAAGGAGGGGAAGAGTGGCCGGTGAGGAGGTCAGAGAACTGGGGATGTCAGGGAGGGGGAATGTAGGGTCAGAGAGAAGGTTGGTCTGATTTAGATGGCAGAGGGCCACTGGGCACCCACTTTGTGTTGAAGGCACCCCGCCGAGCAGTGCCCATTGATGGAAAGGATGGCTATAGAACACTGTGGTTCCATCAAGACCTGGTTGTGGGAACTTGGGCAAGGGGCCTTTCTCGACTGTTGTTGTATTGGGTGAAGTGGGCTCATGCACACAGAGCAGTCAAGATGATGATGCCAACACTGACGCTGAGCTGTCTGCATGTGAACCTGACTCAAAGCCCTCCTTTTTCACATCAGCCGGTGGTGTGGCCACATCGTATCTCCCTGAGCTAGTAGAATGGGGGGTGGGGGGGTGGGTAGTGAGGGAGACAAGGTGGAAACTTCCTGAAACCCCTGAGTGCGCACAGAGGGGGTTGCATGCTCCCTAGGGAGGACAGTAGCTTGGTCCTGGCACTTTGATACCAGTGGGGAGTGATGGGGACTTATGTCACGCTGCTGTTGTTCGTGTCTGTTGAGCAGCAGGTTGCGGCACACAGTGACCCATACGCACAAGAAGGAAATGCCACCGCACGGGCCCTGTCTTCACAGCTGTAGTGTTTGAACCCATGGCTGTAGCCCTTGTGTCGCTACATCTTGTTGAGGGTCTTCCTTTGTCTCTGACCCTCCTTTTTTTTTTTTTTTTAAACCAAACACGATGTTCTTTTACAGGGATTGTTCCCTCTTGATAATATGTCCAAAGTACATGGGACAAAGTCTTGTCTTCCTCTCTTCTAAGCAGCACTCTGGCTGTGCTTCCTCCAAGACAGATTTGTTTGTTCTTCTGACGGTCCGTGGTACTTGTCAATGTTCTTCACCCACACCATAATTCGAATACAACTTCTCTAGTTTCCTGGTTTATTCTCCAGCTTCCACGTGCATATGAGGTCCCTGAAAAAGATCAGGGCTTGGGTCAGGTGTCCCTTAGTCCTCCAAATAACATCTTTGCTCCTGAATTCACTAAAAAGGTATTTTGCAGCCTCGTGCAATAAATAGGGCATTGGGTTTCTTAACTGCTTTTTTTTTTCTCAAAGAAAGCTCAACCCATCTCCGTTCTGCCCTGTAAAGCAGACAGACACCGTGGTGTTGAAAGAAGTGTGATTTGGAGAGAAGGGCAGTGTGTGTTGGGCTAGATGTGGGGGTGGGGAGACCGTGATGGTGTGGCTCATCTGCTAGAGGAAACCGGTGCTCTTGGAC